ATATAATATTCCAATGACGTAAAAAAAATTGACATTTCAATATTAATATATATTTTAAAATATATCTTATTTAAATTTAATAATGGTTTTCAAAAATATTATGTGTTTCCAGAATATATATAAACGCATATAACAATATTTATATACGTTCATAAATCTATATATAGTGGATTGGATGTTTTATAGAATTGTTTAAACAAATGTTCGTTAGGCAAATTTTACTCAGATAAAAATTTAATAATTGACTTATTTATATTTTTTAAAATAGCCTATCGTCTTCCCCGTATTTTTACCTATGTATGGAAATTTTGGTTTGAATTAGTGAACTACTGCGAATTTGTATACCGGACATACAAACAAACAAACATACAAATATTGATTTATATATATACTAGACGGGTGACCCGGGCTTCGCCTCGGGATTGACCCGCGTGCATATCTACCCGAGTGATATATATTTAGTTAAGATTTTTTTATAATTGTTTGTTATTAGCATTATCTATTTGTTTGCATCAGCATAATTTAATCTAATCTTTGATAGAGGGCGCTGTTCGTGAGCTAGGTAGAATAATTTGAATATATAGTTTTAATAATTGATTTATATATTTTTGAAAATAGCCTATCGTCTTCCCCGTATTTTTTTACCTATGTATGGAAATTTTGGTTTGAATTAGTGAACTACTCCGAATTTGTATATCGGACATACAAACAAACAAACATACAAACATTGATTTTTATCTATATTAATAAAATGCAAATTTCATAAGTGTACATCACTAAAAACTTTCGTTACAATGCATCAATTTCAACCAAATTTTCAACATTTATGTAAAAAGAGATGGAGCAGGTTTTGCTTAACATCAAAATATTTTTCCATAACATTAACATGCGTAACTTCGCTGTTATCGATTAAATACCAAAAAATCAACAGAGTTAATTTTATTTATATATAAATACAAAATTAAATTTCAACAGAGTTAATTTTTTTACATACTAGCTAATAATCTCAATCTAAAAAAATATTCAAAACAAGCAATTTTAAGATAACACCATATGTAAAACAGTCGGCCAAGAAAACAAATAACGTGTAATATATATATAATATAATATATATAATAAAATCTTAAATATTATTTATCAAAAGTAAGATTATCTCAGGATGACACGGCAATTTATTTGAGACAAGAATAATGATACAATTCCAAGGCGAAGATACTATTCCTTTAACTTCCAATTACCGAGGGAACCAATTAATATTGATTTTATTCAACTTATCGAGTATTTTTCAAGGGACCGGAAAAAAATGTTCGCTAGATAAAACGATGATTTTGTAATGTAGAAAATTAGGAAAGACAAAATTCAGGATGACACGGCACACAGGGACCGGGAAAAATGTTCACTTTATCGAGAGATTCAAATTTACAAGTTTCAAATTATCAAAATATATCTTCTTTTTTAAATAAGTTTATAGAGAATTGTTTTAACAAATGTTCGTTAGACAAACCTTTACTCGGGTAAAAACCCGGGCGAAGCCGGGCACATCCGCTAGTATATATATATATAGATGTACTATTGTTGCAAATGTGCCGACGAATGGATGAACTGGCAGTCGTGTACGTCAGGCGAGTGTTGATATTCTTCCCACACGCGCACAACAAGAAGCAGAGGCAGGGCTAGATGTTAGCACAGAGAGGGATCGGGGACAGCCCACGGGACAGAGGTAGAGGCCATGACACAAACTTGGATTCTTATCTCTGAGACATGGAGGGAGAGACTGTGTGAGACAGAAGCTGTGTGTCGATCGCCACACCCTAGAACATCTGCTGCTGACCCCTTGCCAAAACCTGTCCTTTTTACCGGGGTCGTCTATAAAGAGTTCCTGGGGGCCCCACATGGGCTGGGCGTTGGCCTTTTTCCTCCCCTCTGTCCCTGCCACCAGCTGACCGAACACTCTTTGGATCTTTATTTTGACGTCAACATTTTTAGTATTACATACAAATAGGGGTTTACAGGTGTTATCAATAAAGATATAGCATATATACAAAATATGGGGTGGCAGCAAACAGAAACGGTGTACATTCCAAAAGAAGGGCAGGATATTTTAAGGTATCGGCTTTAACTAATTGGAAGATATGTGACATATATTAAAAGTGTCATACAGTTTAAAATCTACTATAGAATGTGCCTCCGGTGATGAAGGTTTGTTTGGGGGAAATAAAATAACATGAATGATGACCTAACAAACCTATTATAAAATCAAAAGAAATAATTTGGGCACAAATTAGTTAAAATTATTAATATATACAGTTATCAGCGTCATGCATTCTTTCTTAATTCTGTCACCGTTTGCTTTTGGTTCAGTGGTAGAATGCTCGCCTGCCACGCGGGCGCCCCGGGTTCGATTCCCGGCCGATGCATTTTTTTACAATTTTTAAAACTCATTTATATTATTAAAATATATGTACTTTTCCTGTCTATGTACAGATTTATGGTCTATGTACACAAGTATACAAGTATGTATACAAGTTATTTGCAAATTGCGTGGCAAATTTGCCCTTTCGCTCGCAAGCAGCGCCTCTAGCGGTGAAGATGAGAGGTAATATCAGCTGACCTAATGGACATGTAAAACGTGTTTTAACAGGACATAGAGAAAAATCTGAAAAATATATTTTTCGGATTTTAAGCAAGAAAAATAAATTGACAGGTTTTGGAAAAAGTAGTTGTTTTTTTATTCAGAAAATCATGATGACAATATTGTGCTGTATCATATTTAATACAGTTACCAGCGTCATGCACAATTCTGTCACGTTAAGTCACGTGTCAAGTTACGGTAAGTAAAAATTTTAAAATTAAAAAAAGATGCCGAAACCCGGGATCACACCAGGGACCTTTAGATATTCAGTCTAACGCTCTCCTAACTGAGCTATTCCGGCTTATGTTAGTTATTTCTATAGACGCTTCTATCTTTATAATTATGTTTATTTTCAAAAAGTCAATTCACACCTCTTCGCCGGAGACCATGGGAATACTGACTAATTCATTATGTGCTAACATAATTATAAATACAAGTAACCAGAGTCATCAACAATTCTGTCATCGTTTGCTTTTGTGAATGGAATAAATACCCAAATAGGGCCATTTCTTATAAGCATCGGTGGTTCAGTGGTAGAATGCTCGCCTGCAACGCGGGCGGCCTGAGTTCGATTCCCGGCCGATGCATTTTTTTCTTTTTTACAATTTTTAAAACTCATTTATATTATTATTCCTATATCCTATGTGTGTGTGCGTGTGTGTGTGTCTGTCTGTCCTTTATGCCTGACCAAACCACTCATTGGAACGCCATGAAACTTTGGGAAGTTATTTAGTATAGTACTGGGAAGGTTTCTAGCAAATAAAATTTTTGAAATAACCTTTCGCCTAGAAATAATCAAGATAAATATTCTAATTTATCTGTTATAATTCAACAATCTGCTCTAAATATTATCATGATGATACGATGATTTTGTAATGTAGAAAATTAGGAAAGACAAAATTCAGGATGACACGGCAATTTATTTGAGACAAGAATAATGATTCAATTCCAAGGCAAGATACTATTCCTTTAACTTCCAAATATATACCGAGGGAACAAATTAATATCTATATATATAAAAATGAATGTATGTGTGTGTGTGTGTCTGTCCTTTATGCCTGACCAAACCACTCATTGGAACGCCATGAAACTTTGGGAAGTTATTTAGTATAGTAGTGGGAAGGTTTCTAGCAAATAAAATTTTTAAAATAACTTTTCGCCTAGAAATAATCAAGATACATATTCTAATTTATCTGTTATAATCAACAATCTGCTCTAAATATTATCATGATGATACAATGATTTTGTAATGTAGAAAATTAGGAAAGACAAAATTCAGGATGACACGGCAATTTATTTGAGACAAGAATAATGATACAATTCCAAGGCAAGATACTATTCCTTTAACTTCCAATTACCGAGGGAACCAATTAATATTGATTTTATTCAACTTATCGAGTATTTTTCAAGGGACCGGGAAAAAATGTTCACTTTATCGAGAGATTCGTTAAACAAACCTTAACTCGGGTAAAACCCGGGCGAAGCCGGCTACATCCATACAAGAATAATGATACAATTCCAAGGCAAGATACTATTCCTTTAACTTCCAATTACTGAGGGAACAAATTAATATTGATTTTATTCAACTTATCGAGTATTTTTCAAGGGACCGGGAAAAAATGTTCACTTTATCGAGAGATTCGTTAAACAAACCTTTACTCGGGTAAAACCCGGGCGAAGCCGGGTACATCCATACAAGAATAATGATACAATTCCAAGGCAAGGTACTATTCCTTTAACTTCCAATTACCGAGGGAACCAATTAATATTGATTTTATTCAACTTATCTAGTATTTTTCAAGGGACCGGGAAAAAAATGTTCACTTTATCGAGAGACTCGTTAGACAAACCTTTACTCAGGTAAAACCCCGGCGAAGCCCGGTACGTCCGCTAGTTCCTATATATATAAAAGTCAGCGTATGTATGTATGTATGTTTGTCAACTATACACGTCCACAATACATAACTAATCTGACTGATATTTTAACAGTATATAAAGTAGAATCTGGAAAAACTCTTAGTGAAAATTTCAGGTCTCTATCCCGAATATTTGTCGTGTTATTTGAAATTTGCTCTTTCGCTCGCGCCTCTAGCGGTGAAAATGGGAGGGGTAATACCAGCTGACCTAATGTACATGTAAAGTTTGGAGCGGGACGTTTCACAAGAGTGACATCCACGGCTCCAATGTATAATTGTAACGAATAGTATTTGAAAAAAACATTTAATCAGGTAAAACCCGGGCATTGCTCGGGTCATTCGGCTAGGTATAAATACAGTTATCAGTGTCATAATAAATTCTTTCTTAATCAATTCTGTCTCCGATTGCTTTGTGAATGGAATAAATACCCCAATATGGCCATTCCTCATAACCATCGGTGGTTTCAGTGGTAGAATGCTTGCCTGTCACGCGGGCGGCCCGGGTTCGATTCCCTGCTGATGCATTCTTTTTTTTTACAATTATTAAAACTCATTTATATATTATACAAGAATGATATCCACGGCGCCAATTTATAATTGTAACGAATAGTATTTGAATAAAAGCATTTGATCGGGTAAAACCCGGGCATAGCCCGGGTCATTCGGCTTGTTATAAATATAGGAGAATAAAATAGGACAATAATGATGACTTTTTCTTCAAATAAAAGACACTTCGGCCAGTAAATCTTTTTATTGTTTCGACGTTTCGACTATCTTTACAAGAATGACGACGTCTCAATAAGATATAGAATACGATAAAAGAAAATACATAAGTATAAATGATAAAATTTAGAAAATATGCAAGATAAAATTAGAAATGTCGTAAAAGTAATTTACTCATAGAGTAAAATAAATTTGAGAACCTATTGAATCAAAAAATAAATAAAAGAAA